GCGAAAAAGCGTAGACCAATGGTCCGTGGTCTGTCTTGATGACAAACGGACGACCTTCCAGGATGTGTCTGAAAAACTTAATGGCAGCGAAGATTGCCAAGAGTTCTCGGTCGTAGGTGCTGTACCGAGACTCTGTTGGACTCAGTTTGCGTGAGAAGAATCCGAGTGGCTTCCAGGTGTTGTCCTCCAACTGTTCCAGAGCTGCTCCTATAGCAGAGTCTGATGCATCAGTTGAGAGTGCGATTGGTGCGGTTGGTGAGAGGAAGCTGACTCGGGTTGCTGAGGCGATTCTCTCCTTGCATTGGCTGAATGCAGTCTCTGTGTCTGGGGTCCAGGGAATCTTCCGCTTGTCATTCTTCTTGGAGTCCTTAGTGAAGTCGTTGAGTGAGGCTTGGTCGTGTGCTGTATGCGGGAGGCATCGTCGACAGTAATTGAGCATTCCGAGAAACCTGCGAAGCTCAGCGACAGTCTCGGGTCTCGGGAACTCGACGATGGCTTGGACCTTGCTCTCAGGTGGTGAGAAGCCATGACGATTGACCTTGTAGCCCAAGTAGATGACCTCGTCTTGCCCAAATTGGCACTTGCTGGTGTTAATGCTGAGGTGGTTGTCCTGTAGGATGTTGAGAATGACCTCGAGGTGCTGCAGGTGCTCTTCAGGGGTCCTGGAAAACACGATGAGGTCGTCTATGTAGCACGCTGCGAAGTTGATGTCTCTCAGCAGGTTGTCCATGTGGCGCTGAAACGTTTGCGCAGCGTTGCGCAGTCCTGGAGGCATGCCGAGGAACTCGAAGAGGCCGACGGGTGTTGTGACAGCCGTCTTGGCGATGTCCTCTCGTGCTACTGGGATCTGGTGGTATGCTCTCACAAGGTCAAGGGTCGTGAAGACCTCGGAGCCGTAGCAACGTTGGAGAGTGTCCTCGATGATGGGCAGCGGGTATCGATCAGGCACTGTGCACTGGTTGAGACCTCGATAATCTCCTGTTGAGCGCCAGCCTCCCTGCTTCTTGGGCACCATGTGAATAGGGCTCGCCCATTGACTGCTGGAGGGTCTGATGACGCCGCAGTGCAGGAGACTGGATGTCGTCCCGTGCTGCTTGCAGCTTGGCCCCAGCAAGACGTCTAGGCCGCTCGGCAACTGGTGGGCCGCTGGTGACGATGTGGTGAGCTACTGGGCTTTCAAGCTGGGTTCTCGGAGCGGCTGGAGGCTTCGTGACCTCCACGAACTTCACGAGTAATCGCTGAATGTCGGGAGAGATTGCTGAGCTATCGCTGGTGACGGTGGAGATGCTGTAGATGCTGGTCTCGTAGACATCTCCAGGTGCTGAGAGTTGAGTCGTTGGATCGATGAGACGTTTTCGTTTGAGGTCGATGAGCAGACCATAGTGTGTGAGGAGGTCTGCGCCGATGATGGGAACTTTGTCGTTGGCGACGGTGAAATTCCACTTGTAGTCGCGTCGAAGTCCAATGTGGAGGGTCAGGAGCTGTTGGCGATAGGTGTCAATGACCGTGTTGTTGGCAGCAAACAGCTTGAGCTCTGCAGGTTGAAGGTTGTGTCGACTCCAGGAACGGAGGACTATGGATATCACAGATCCAGAGTCGACAAGATATGTTTGGCCTCTAGCTTTGTCGGAGACGAATAGGCGAAGTTCTTTGATGGTGGCATTATTGTTGATGTCTGAGCTGCCGCAGGCCGCCTGAACAGACGGCAGCGTTTCTAGTTTAACGGTAGCTGGCTGGCAGAGCTGGAGCGAGAGCATGGAGGTTGGCATTGTCGTGCCCTGTCTCCAAACCGCTCGTGATAGTAGCAGAGACTACTTCGACCTTGAGGTGCTGGCGTGAGAGAACGATCACGGGAGTGCGATCGTGATCTTCTAGGGTGAAGTTGTCCCATCCTGGAAGACATCTGCTGGAGTGCGTGGCACAGGGTCTCGACTACTCGCTCAAGGGCACCAAGCCTCTGCTTGATGAGACTGCTGGACCCATTGTGGTTGAGGAGGTCTGTGGCTGCTGCTGTGCCTCGAGTTGGTACGTGAGTGGCCATGACCTGGGCACCTTGGTGATTCTCCATCACAGCATCAGTAGCCTCTGCCAGCTGATCGAGTGTGGTGTTGGTCTGGACAGCCTTGAGGATCTTGCTTGCGACATCCGGCAGCAGGGCCAACCACCTGCTACGAAGGAGCTCGTCAGAAACCTTCCCATCAGCCAGGTTCCTCATCTGCCTCAAAAGTTGGCTGGGCTTTTGATTGCCAAGCTCGAGCTCTGTCAAAAGTTTGTGCAAGCGTCGGTCCACTGATTCGGAAAATCTTTTGGTGATTTGCTCTTTCAGGTAATCATACTTATCTTGAGCTGGAGGTGATTTGATGATGTCGGTGATCTCTCTAAGGTGATGCGCCTGAAGTGACTCGAGGACAGCATCGTATTTGCTGTTGTCGTTCGTGATGCGTCGATTCCGGAACTGGGCCTCAGTCTGGGTGAACCACGCGCCAGGATCCTCATTGATGAACGGGGTGAGCTTGAAACTCGACAGGGCCATGATCTGGAGATCGTCAAGGGCTTGCTGGTTGATGAGGTTTACCCCAAACGGGGGCTCGTTGACGTTGGATCTGTGTGTGCTGGCGGGGGTTGCGAATGCACCGAGGAGGTTATCCCAATCCGGGTAAGTCGATGATGCTCTTGGTGGTTGTGTTGATTGTGACTGACCTGATGGACTGTCAGTTGCAACGTTGGGCGCCGGCGAGTGTGCAAGAGGCATGATGCAACTCGGCGTCTGGTTGTGGGCACGTGCCGGGTTGAGGTTAAGCACTGCGTGTGTAGTAATCCTTCCGGATCACGTCGGGGTCACCAATTATGGAGATGGTGGGGAATCTCACATAAAGAAAGTAGAGTTCTATTTATGATAAACACTTATAATTATTTATTGGAATACTTTAGAATACTTTAAACGATACAAATTATATAACGCTACAGCTGTGGTGGATCAACGCGGGAGAGGTAAGTATCGTAATGGCGGAATGGCGGGCTTTCCTAGTTCTCCCTAGGAACTAGTAATTGCTTTCGTCGTTGGCGTTGGTGGCAGGCTCGGCCGGTAACCTCGGGAACGGCTGAGGGCTGAGCCGCCACAGTATCATCTTTTACACTGCCATCTTGCGGTATTTCTCCGTAACCTTGTACTAATCAGCTGATGTGATGCCCGGTTCTATTCGATTAATCGAAATCGAATGCAAAATAATCGATTATCCCCATGAGATCCGCCATGATCGATTAGTGACCCATGTCTTTTTTAATATAGGATTCGATCTCTACTATGCGTATAAAAATCCATAAGAAATGAAACTACACAGCGCAACCTTGAAAAATGATTCAAAAATTTTGAAAAAATTCACATGTACTTTCCACGTCATTGGTTATCTTTATCAAACACGAAAATTATGAAATTAAATTTTTTTTACATATGAGCCATCTGTTAGAGGCGTAACGTGTCTCAAGACCGGATCCGTCAACTTGATCAATACCTAATCAGTGGTCAGGTCGAACCTGATCCAAACTTGATCAAGACCTGACCGGAATTTCCACTCGGGTAAGGCGACCTTAATTGTTTTCTCGCTTCACTAATTATTTTGCCCCGTAGTTGCTATCCTATAGAAGTATGATATATCGCAATACTATAGTCTAGTCATAATAATCAATTAACAGACCTGTAGAGAGACTCACAGAAAGATCTCTAGTAAAAAACGCGAAAATTCATCGTTTTCATTTTTTTTTAATGTGTCACAGGTGGAACTTTAGAACGTTTTTTTTTCAAACTATAGGGAATTGAAGCTAGAATTACATCAATTTTTGTCGAAGTGGTAGAAAAATCTGTATCTATGAGAATTATAAAAAAAAAGAAGTGTCGATTAAAAATATAATTCAGCAACAAAAAATAAAATACAAATTTTTTCCTCCAATTGTGAGATGTTTTTGATTTTTGAGAAGTTTTTCCGATTTTTAAATAGCTTTCAAGTGCACAAAAAACAATGAAATTAAAAAAAATGTTTTTTTAGCCATGAAAATTCAGGGAATCAATATAATGTTTGTTTTTTTAGGTGATGAATATGTGAAAAAATTGCCGTATTGAAATTCGATCGGGGCAGATTCACCATGCTTATCCGGCTAGACCCTTTTATTGAAAATGATTCTAAACGTTATCAAATCATGTAAATTCCACATTCAATTTCTGGGGCTATTACTATAATTACCCGATAGATCAAGAAGTTGAAAATCTGTCCCTAGCAGCTTCGAACGCACTGGTTTCTCTTCACAGGTTTCTGATTGGCTCCCCACTTTTACCACTCAGTTGGAGCCTTATTCTGCAAACACCAATTCAATTTCTCCGATATTAGGAATCGCCCTGCATTTTATATATATCATTATAAAAATGATCTCGCGGTATTCTAGATAATTATAATCTCTATGAATTATGAGTCGTAGGACACGCGCAGCTGAGCGATAGACGAGACGAAACAAGCCGAGTCTAGCGCGAGGTTGCGCGTGTCCTACGACTCTCCCTAAAAATATTAACACACGAGTTTAACGTTCTCCTTTTTTCACACGTATAACGTATACTATTTTTTGAAATGAGCGATTGTAAAAGTCATCATATTGTGGGATAAAAATGTTAACAAATATGAATAATCGCGAGATAATCTTTCCTGAGATGCGTGAGATATACGAGGTATTGCCTCAAAATGTCAGCGATTTATCGACGAAAATATGAACATTGAAAACTTTCCAAGAAGTGGCTGAGATCCTCTATTTGGATTCACCTTCTGATTTTGTTACCAACTTTTGACTCGTCCCAGACATACGTCGTCATGTTTAATTGAACCATCAGCTTCTTCAATTAAGGAATCGTTCCTGGAATGATGTTAAAGCTTCCTTTGATCACAAGCATAATATACATTATTGACAAAAAATAGTATGGATACATTTGCTTTTTTTCATTTTAATCCTTTATTTATTCATGAATTATATGAATTACATGATTGTAGAATTGAATACCCATCTTCAATAAAACAGAGGAACCTTTTTTGTAGTTTTTAAAAAATAGACCTCTCTTACATAACTAAATCTTATTTTATTAATATCCTTTTTGAAACATAATAGACGTTTTTTGACACCTAAACAAAAAGAAAAACAGAAATAAATGTCTTTTGATGATTATATACTCTCGAACAATGAAATAGTTTTCTTTTACGCAACCAACTTCGCTAAACAAACTTTCTTCGTTGTTAGTAATTTTCTTTAACGTAATGAACATTTCTTTATGGCACTTCTGGAGATAGAAATGGAAAAATGACCATTTCTAAATGATCATGTAGTCTTATAAGATTAAATAGACTCTTCTATTCCTAACTAGTCTTCTCTCGTGGTTTGGTTTTATCTTTAACATAATAAACATATTTCTTTGCATTCAAAGCGTAGGAAAAGCATAAATTAATATTTTTAAATAATAATGTAGTCTCTAAAAATGGAACAGACTCATTTCTCTTGCAGAAATATTTCTCACGCGACTTTTATGGTAACTTTTTTTTCTGGATATAATAAGGATTTCATGAACGCTCAGAAAAAAAAGAAAAAAAAATAATGCAATTAATGTTCTCTAAAAAAATTAAATATTTGCATTCTTAGCATTTGCAAAAGAAGAAAAAACATAAAACAAAATTAGTGTAAGTCATCGGAGTGCTTTGGAAAATTTGAATAAGCAGCTCTGTCGTATGTAACCAAATCGTTTTTTATCGCCAGTTTTAGGAATCGTCTTTTTTCGAGATGTGGAAGGTGATATTTGTACAATTGCTAATGTGCAATTTGAATTCTTGCCCAAGTGTTTGATTCCCAACTAGTTCGAGGTTCTCCCTGTTACACACTGATACTGCTGGATCCTTCATTGATTGGTTTTCTAAGTTGATTCTAACAGTATCCTTCGTAGCAAATACTCTGACCAATGATGCAGTTGAGCTTGATTTGAAGCTAGGGCCAGCAGGATCGTTCATGGAAGACACCTTCGGTCGTAATGGAATTGATCTTGACGTAGATGTAGGTCTAGGCAGGTTTATGTTACTCGTGATTTTGTCACTGATTTTTTCCTTACTGGATTTTGAGTGAGTAATGTATCCATTGGCTGCCGTCTCACTCTTCCATCCACCGAGTCTCTTCAAATCTTCCATAGTTCCTCCATCCTCAACAAACAAAGATGCTGCAGTGTGACGAATGGAATGACTAGTGAAGCGTTGAGGATTTGGTAGTCCCAGGAACTTAGCAACAATGTTTGGCACATTCCCCATTTTATTAATACCGATAGGTTGCTTTGTGCATTTATCATTTTGATAATTGATGAAAAACCTGTGGTGGTCAAGATTTTTAGGACGAAGATTGGCATAACGCAGTACAATGTTGTAGAATTCGCCTTTTATTATGAAGGACCTGGCTTCTCCATTCTTTGAAAGTGGAATTTTTGCGAGGATCATAAGATTCTTCTTCTCTCTGTCTTTGTCAGAGTAGGAGCGTTCAAGATCGTCGGTTCTCATATTCGTCAATTCTTTTCGTCTGCAAGCTCCTAGGAGGCCAATTACAAGTGCAGCCTAAACAAACAGATGTAAAATCAACTGAATATAAAAATCAGAAAATCTATGAACATAAACATTCAAATGAGAAATAGTCTTGCATCGAAAAATTCCACAGAAAAACTTAACAAATCTCATTGAAAATTCTGTAAAATTACTGTTTAAAAAAAATTGTATTAGATGTTTCGATGAAAATTCTGTCGATTCTTGGCCGATTTTATTGGAGGAGTCTGCTCAACTGCGCGTTTTTCATTTTCTTTTGTTTTTTTATTTGTTACGATTTTTTTTAATAAAAGAAAATTCGCTCCAAATTGAATCGAACTTTTTGATGAAATTGCTGGAATTTTTCTGTACGTAGTAAATTGCATTTTTAGCCCGAACAATCTAGCCGAAGTGAGGTTAGAATAACAAAAACATATCTTCTCGAACAAGCACTGCGAGTCACTGGCATTCAGCAAAAAATCCTCCACTTGGAGTCCAGTGAAGGCAGAAGCCTTCTTGGCCTCATACCCTTTGGATTTTTTCTTTAAAAAAACAATGAGTTCAGGGTAGGTGCTGATATTAACCCCTGCATGTAGTTGGAGAGTACTCTTCAATTTACTGTATTCAGACCACAATGTTGATGGGGCACGGTTCTCTGACAGTTCAGTGAAATATGAGAGCATCGCACTTACAGAAATTGATGTGGTTTTTTGTTTTCTTTGCCATGCGACGAAATTGTCATATCTCTTCGAATATAGACCCCCTGATTTGACTGGCAGCAAATCCATTTTTGCTTAGGCATATTTTGCCTGCAGATCAGGTGGAGTTGGAGGATTTGCATACTGCGAATCAAAATCTTCATCTGCTGACATGTTGAATTTTTTAAAATGGTTAATGCACTTTTTTAGAATTTTTTTAGAATCGAGAGTTAGTAAATGCGAGATGAATCACTAACGAATAATGGCTGCCGTAAGGCTGATGCAATCCCGTTCAGACGATTAAACCAATGTTTTCAGCTATACACATAGTTAGAGGAATAGTGCCCCGTGATTGGTCGAATACGTAGCAACTGGCGCTATCATTCAAGCGTCGGCCGAGAAACAAAACTTAATTTGTAAACGAAAGTGAAAGTAACTTTTCGTTTACAGGTTGAGGGAGTGACGAAAAGTGCCACTTTATGCACAAAAATTAGTAGCCGAAAAGGGACTTTTCCAAGCACATGTTTCAAAATAGTATATTTCGTAACGAGTGCAAAAAAGTGTTTTTTGGCGAGTGGGAGGTTCACTAGCCGAAGGCGAGGGATATAATCCCACGAGCTAAAAAACATTTTTTCACGAGTTACGAACAATATTTTTCGTCACAATGTGGCAGAAATTGGACTTTTAGGCACGCGGAGCGTGCCGAAAAGTTCACTTTTCGTCACAGCATGATGAAAATGCATATATATAATTCTATAAATGTGCACTTCTCATACTTCCACAACTCATAATGTGTTATGTAGTCTGAAGTCCTTTTCTGTATCGAATAATATTCGATTGTGGACCAGTAGCCAGTAAACATCTTCAACCAATGCATGTAATTAGAGGTTCCTGCGATAGATTTATAATGTAGGTACCTAAAAATATCCCAAGAGATACCTGCAATCTCTGGGGCATCGGGATTTGAACTGTAGGCGGGGCCTCAGCTGGCCTTGGGCAATATGACGGACAAGAGATAACAGTTGCAATGTAACTAATAGGAAAAATCAGAGTTTTTAGTGATTAATGATGATTAGTGTGGCGGAAATTTGCACGTGGGCCGTGACAAAACCAAGGAACCGGAATTTTCTCGAGGGGAAACGTATTGAGGGCTAACCACATTATTAAATGTGGAAAACATGTGGATTCTCCTCCGAACACCATCTGTGTCACGGCCTATTGCCTTCAAACGTCACATATACGTGAAAAGCCCCATCAAAGCGATATATCGATGTGTAAGGGGAAAATTAAAAGTGCAAAATGTTCATGCAAGGCGGGACAAGGCGAGCAATGCAAACATATTCTTGTTTTTTTTAATTTTTCATTATTAACCGTAGATCCCGTTCCTGTCTGTTTTTCATTTTTTTCCGGTCAGTGTTAGGAATATTACATGACGGGATTGCCTTTTTCTTTAAACGCTTCTGTAGAACGACTTGGTCTAGAAATAAAGCATATTTTGGAGCACTTATGTGAGGTTAAGAACAGGACAATCTTATCCATTGTATAATTACCTGGAACAATGTCATCATCTTGTAAAAAATGAAGCTCACACACTTTTTCATATGGGGATACTTCTTTTAAATTCACTGCTCGTTTCCACGCCTTGCACAGATCGATTTTTTCACGATTACCGAAATAATTGATCACAAACACCTCACGTTTTCCAGGTTTAGGAAAATAGTGGGAGGCTAGCTTCTGCTTATCAAATCGACTTTTACAGCACGGCACACAGCAAAGAACTCTGGATATGCACTTTTTCGATGATTATTCCGAGGAAAATTCCATTTTTTACAATAAATTTACAATTAATTACCCTTGACAGCTAGGGCTTGGATCCCGTGTTATTATCCCACGTGGATTCTCTTTTGCGCCATCAGAGTTCATGTTCGAATCGAAACAGATCCCAATAGTACAGAGTTCGCTCTTTACATAGGCATCTCCCTATACTTTTCAGAACTCCAAAACATCGCTCCATCGTTGACCTTGTTCGAGCATGAGCCTTTGTGTATCTATGTTCTGGTGTTTCCTCTGGTGCATTCATTATTGGAGTGAGCAAATATGGCAATAATGGATAGCCAGAATCCCCCAATGACCAACATTGAATCGTACGGAATCTCCTTCATATTGTAAAAAATGGGCACATTTAATAATGAATAACAGTTTATTAAAAAATTTTGGGCGAAATAAATAATCAAAAGAAGTGACGCGCCCGCGGACTAGGAAGGAAGATAAAAGAATAACGATGAAGAAAGAAACGATCGTACGTGAAGTTATACAAGATCGTACATGAAAAGTTGTCACCCCGACAACAACGCGTCTGTTAAAGGCAATTGTAGAGAAATTTCAGTTAATTAATAACTGAAATGATACTTCAATTATCTGGGGCCTTCAACCCAACTTTCTTCCAAAAACCCAGACGGAAAATACAGGAAAGACAGGAGGTCTGACTCAAAATAAATAATTGGGACTTCACGGAAGAATCTTCTTTTTCTTCGCGTGGGCTTCCAAAAATTCCGGAATTGAGGATTCGAACTGGAAAAGATATGGTGGAAACGGCAAATTCTAATTGTTCAAATGGAAGAAAAATAGTTGAAATTAAGTAACAATCTATTCAAGTATTTGCATCAGCTATCAATTTTTGATGAGTATTTCTAGGAAATATTTTGACATTCCTCATCTTCTCGGGGAAGAATAGTTGTAAAAACCAATATCTTCTCGGAGAGAAATAAACGAAAGAAAAGAGTCTTCCCGAGGATAAATAAATAGAAGACATAAATCTTCCCGAGGATCAATGAAAAAAGAAAATGAATCATCTGAGATTAGTTGTAGCCATGAACTAATATTAGGTTAATTATAATGATGCAAATACCTGCATAGTGTAATTTCCTTATGATTAAAAGAACAAGGCTTTTGTCTTTTGTTTTCGATTTTCAGCTGTCGAGAAAAAGTGAATCGATTTCGTTCTTCGATATGATAATCGATTTGCGTATTAATCGGTCTCTCTTATGATGAAAAAAAAGAGCAAGGCTTTTTTGTCATTTGTTTTCGATTTTCAGCTATCGAGACGAGAAAAAAGGGAATCTACTTGTTTCTTTGATGGCATTTCGATTGCGTACGTATTAATCGATTGTGATGTGATCACATAATTTTCCTTTTCACAAAAAAATCGAGACATCAGGTGAGGAAACAAGCAGGACGCACTGAGCATATGATCGTGAGCATGTCACTGAGTGGTTTCAATGCTTTCTTCGCCATCAATAAATTGATGGTATGCTTCCGAATGGTTTCAGCATAATAAATTTTTTTCTCTCGGATATTTCTCCCCATTTTTGCTACTTGCGTCTTTCTCGCCTCCCATTGAAACTCTTTCCAACCTCTTGTATTGCATTTGCTAAAGGTTGGAGGATACCNGTTTCAATGCTTTCTTCGCCATCAATAAATTGATGGTATGCTTCCGAATGGTTTCAGCATAATAAATTTTTTTCTCTCGGATATTTCTCCCCATTTTTGCTACTTGCGTCTTTCTCGCCCCCCATCGAAACTCTTTCCAACCTCCTGTATTGCATTTGCTAAAGGTTGGAGGATACCCTAAGTTAGGGGAAAACCTGACCAGATAAAGTCGTCCCTTCCGTTACTCGTTATTGCGAGTATTTTTTCTAACGTCAAACTGGTATGTATGCACGCATGAATAAATTCGATAGAAAACCTAGCGAATTCGCTAGAAAATTCTATAGGAATTCTGTGGGATTTCTATAGAATTTCTTTTGGAATTCTATTGAAAAATTCTATTTGTTTTTTACGCTGATTCTATTGGATATTCAATAACAAAAAGTCAATAGATTTCAAATTTCTATTTAAATTTTTCTGTTAGATTTTAAATTGTTAAATTTTCCATCAGAATTATTGGGCACAAATTTTGTAAGTTTTTTCCACTGGATTTTGGTTTGTTTTGCATTGCAGAATCCGAGTGGAAAAAACTTAGAAAATTGATGCCCAAGCATTCTTATAGAAATAATCTCAAAAGAAAAATTGAAACAGAAATTCGAAATCTATTGACTTTTTTTATTGAGTATCCAATAGCATCAGCGCAAAAAACAAATAGAATTGTTCAATCGAATTCCAATAGAAATTCTATAGAAACCCCATAGTATTCCTATAGAATTCTAATAAAATTTTCTAGCGAATTCGCAGGCACGCCCGGTGGCTTGGCGCAGTGGGTAAGTTCATTGCCTCACATGCCAAAGGTTAGGAGTTCAAATCCCGGTCGGGTAGAATGGTGCGATCTAACCATTTAAAGTCTTGATCATCATCGCAGTATACCCTAACCGGGTCGAAGCGATGTAAAATAACGATAAAAAAAAAGAATTCGCAGGTTTTCTATTGAATTTTTTCATTCGTGAGAAAGCATTGGAACATCACTCAGTGACATGTTCACCATCAAATACTCACTGACATATTATATTCTCGCTGCCCCCTGTTTGTTTTGATGATTTGAAAATAACATTCATTTGAAACAAAAGAAGGTGAGAGGGATTTACGCTTGTTTAATCGAAAATGATTGGATATACGTTGCTCTGTTCCAAAAAAAATTGAAAATCATTATTTCGATGAGATTTTTAATACCGAGCACAAATAACGCATTTTTTGGAGATACATCATTTACCTCTGGCAATGGCCGTTCTTGGTAGTTACGGGACTGTTATTAAGCTGTCGATATGTTAATTCATAATTAAATAATTTTGGAACGGTTTGTGGGAGATACGTTTATTTGTTACACCTACAGGTCATAACAACGTATCTCACAAGTCCGTACATTTTCCATTTTTTTGATGATTTGAAAGTTTAACATTTATTTGGAACAAAAGAACGTGAGTGGGACTTATGGTTGTTTGAACGAAAATGATTGAAGATACGTTGCTCTGATAAAAAAAAATTGAAAATGATCATTTCGATGATTTTTCCAATACTGAGCATAAATAGCACATTTTTCGGAAATACGTCACTTTACTTCTGGAAACGATGATTTTTTGTAGTTACATGACTCTGTTACTATGCTGTCGATATGGACAGAAAACAATAACTCTTTGATTTTCATCTCGAGTAATGAATGATTATTCAATTATTGAAAAACATGAACTCAGAAACAAAATCAATGATTTAACGGAATTTCTTATTCATGTAGTCTTGATACGAAGAGAGCTCTTCAGGGCTTTGAGCTCGAAGATTTTTGCCTTGACCGACGTCGGTGGCCGAGTGGATTAGACGCAAGTCTAGTGTGCGAAAGGTTGTGAGTTCGATTCCCCGTGGAACCGAATTTTTCAACGGAAGGCTCCGGCGAGCGGGAGGTTGCTAATAGAGGAACCGCCTGTACCGACATGGGTTTTCTGTGGTTTCCCCATGCTACTTCTATGTTCTATAGGAGTGCGAACGCGGTACAGTGTAGAATCCACAGCCGCACGCATAAGGTTGGATAGAGTGCCGAATGGGCACCCAAAAAGGAACTCCGAGGCCGTAAAAAAAAAAAAGTTTTTTGCCTTGTGCATAAAATGCACGATCCAGTCAATAGCGCCACGATTCACTTAATTTTAACCGAGGTCTAACCGTGGTTTCCTAATCCAAAAACTGGCCCTCAGCACTAAAGCGCGAATTGTTCGTGAACGCGCGCAACCGCGCGCGTTATAGATCTGAGAATATTATTATTGGAGTGTGAGAATATTATGGGAGAGAAGAAATATCGATGTGTATTTTAATGAATAAAGAAGAGAAAATTGTGTTAAAATTAAGAATTGAAGTGTGTTAAAATTAAGAGGTTTTTATTATTAATACTGCAGTGACATTTCGTTGTCTTCCTGGTGGAAATGATGTAAGTAGATTTCTTTCAATATAAATCCTTCGACGTAATAAAAAAGTATAGTAAAAAAAGAAATAATCTTAAAGTTATCGAGTTTTATACGTGTTTACATACATCCGTTAGCTTGTTAGTTTTTAAGTTGGAAAAAAAGTCGGTAGTCGTGAAGTACGTAAAGAGAAGAGAAAAGAAAGGAGAAAAAAATAACTCGTGAATCGCNTTTGAATTTGTACGAGACAAATCTACTCAATCGAGTTACTTGAGAGTGCAGCTGACTTCCGATGATAGCATGAAATTTCCAGATTTGAAAATTCGAATGCATCATATGACCTGTCATATGATAGTCATGTCATCCTCTTCTTGCGGTTCGGATTTTTTTTTCTAAATTTTAATTCTTTTTGAATTTTTATATTTTATGGTAAACGAAAATAGCTTCTTAATGTTTTTCTATCGTATTTGTAATCAGACCGATTCTCAGCGCTAAAGCGCTGATTGTTCGTAAACGCGCGCAACCGCGCGCGTTATGGACCTAGTATTATTTGAAAGGATCAAGCTGGAGTATGAAATTTCGCCATCATACATCGGCAGTTTAATCGAATTTTATTCGGATGTAAATGGAAGGAAATGAAGAAATTGAAAAGGATTCATGAATGAAATATCAAGTTGGTTGGAACGAGTTTAATTGAGTTTTTTGAAGTGTTTTAGAAATGATGAGCGAGATAAAAAAAACATTGACTTATCTTTCCCATCAGTTGACTCCATAGATTGTGGACATGCTGGATTTCCTATGCGGTCGCTAGTTTTGGGGTTGAGATGAATGTAAAATAGGAGTCGGTTTACTAATTAATAACTGTTTATTAAAGGAATTTGGGGCAAAAAAGAAATACAAAAAGGAGTGACACGTCTGCGGACTAGGAAGGAAAATAAAAGAATAACGGGAAAGAAAGAGACGATCGTACATGAAGGTGGTTGAGAGGGCGGAAAAGGGCAAATACGTAACACTAGTCCCTCTCTTGAAAAGTTGTCATCCCGACAACAACGCGTCTGTTAAAGGCAATTAGTGAAATTCCAGTTAATTAATAACTGAAATGAGACTTCAATTATCTGGGGCCTTTAAATGGGCACATTTAATAATGAATAACTGTTTATTAAAAATTTTGGGGCGAAATAAATAATAAAAAGAAGTGACGCGTTCTCGGACTAGGAAGGAAGATAAAAGAATAACAGTGAAGAAAAAAACGATCGTATATGAAGATGGTTGAGAGGGAGGAAAAGGACAAATACGCAACAATATTATATTCTTATGCTTTCTGCTATCTCTTCAGCGGTAACAGGAACCAAAAATAATGCATAAACCAGAGGAAGTTATTCCCAAGTGCTCTCGCAAAAGGCATCATAAATTCAATTTTATTTTTCAATTATTATTCACCCCTTTTGAATTCGCTCGATTGCAGGAAATCCATTTGTGAATGACTTGATTCAATGCTTCCACCACTCTGTAGAGGAAACGATACGTTTGGTTCATGAACGCTAAAAAATCTCTTGCAACTTTTCATTGGTAAGAGCCTCCAGATAAAAAATTAAGGCTTGACCGCACTTGTAGATGTGTGGGTATCGTGTCTTTCTTGATAGCTTCTGGGAGAAAATTAGTCAATTCCTCAAGAAGCAATACTGCACCTTCTCTAGTAAATTTATAAAATGATTCTTCAGAAATCTATAAAAAATATAATTTCGTGACTTCTTACCTGAATGGGCTATGTCGAATGGGTTAGTTGTATCACGTACACGCCGACGATATAATCGTAACGTGTTTCTTTCTCGACATTCTTCAATATCCTCAATGTCTTTAACATCGTTTTCCCCCAATAATAATCGTAAAAAATCCATGCCACTGGAATTTTTTATACATGAGAGAGTTAATTGATTGTTTAATATTGTAAAATACGATTCAATTAATTAATTACATTTACTTTATGGAATGGAGCACAGGAAATCACTCAAATAGATCGCTATAAACCAGTTAAAAACAAGGAAAAAAACAAGGAATAACACAATAAATGATTAAAAGGAAAATCTTAGTGTATCAGAATCGATGAATCACAATAATTAATAATAAAATGGTTATATATTTTGCAATCATTAATGCAAATTATAACCTTGGTATTACTTAATTTTGACAGAAAAACAATAATATTATTGAGCATGTTACGTCATCTAGCAGACAAATTATCTACTGCTTCTCATATTTTCACGAAAAGACGTTGCGTTGCGTCTTCGTCTCACTAAACACTCTCGCTTTTCACTTCTCACCCGTCAGATACGATCAAATTCGGGCCCCTGGTAACATACCAACAATCGATAAAGTCGATTACCCCTGGTAAAACTGTGAATAGACAAATCCTTTATACTAATAACTGTCGGTAACTTATCACCAGTTGTTCTCTTCGCAGAATCCAATCGCACCCATCAGTTTCCGGAAGTGACGCAAGAGCCACGATAAAATTTGATCAAGGCCCTTCATAAACCCATCCAATAAGAATTTATCGCCATCAAAGCAGCATTACAACTCATCATACCCCGTTCAATGGCGAAACGGTCAGAGCCAAGCAATCAACTTTACGACATCATGATTCCACACTATATTAAATATCAGAAGCTACTAAGAAAGAAGCAATACCTGCCGGCACCAGCACTTTTCTATTACCTGAATGTCAATAAATCCCCCTGAACATTTACTCTTCTACATCAATACAAGCCGCAATATTTCAAAGTCACAAACTTTACCAGTAATTCCATTTTCTTCAAAATGGGAAAATGTCCCACGATATATGAGGCAACCATCAGCTACAAAGACTGTCCTTTGCAGGATCAGAAGGAATCTTGAAATATGTAAGTGATAAACCCACCCCTCCGCCCTGTACCACTGCTATACCACCCGGACATTAATGTGACAAGTGCATGCTTTCATTTTTAATGAAAATTCTTGTCACCGAAGATACTCGATTAAACTTGTAACATCTGGGTAATGTGTAGAAGAGTTCCAAGGGTATTCCGTAGGTGAGATGGTTCAGTTGACTGAGGGAAGCGCCTGTGGCATCTGCGGCGCGGTCTGACTACCAGTGCGCTCAATCTACTCGGATCGGTGCGTGCCTCAGTCGGCGGTTGGACTCCGCGTGTGCGCGACGTTCACCATTTATATTTCGCAACTCCCTCCTGATGCGGCAACTCGTAAACGCGAATCTCGGAGTATGTTACGATCACACACGTGCTTGAGGCATTCCAATGTTTCGATAAAAATAAACCGCCGTGATTTTTCGGGTTGAGTGGATATCCTCGTCATCAACAGGAAATTCCAACTATTAAATTTGCTTTTCGGGGTGTTTTAACTTTGTTTTTAAATTTAGATTTTTTTAGAATAAATATGACACATTGGTTTAATGATTTTTTGAAATGATCACTGCATTTACACCGAAAAAGTTCAGTTCTATGTGACCATTACCAAGTGTAATTCAAATGCTCGTCCCATTCTCGAGAGGATAGTCGCACAGTTGAACGACAAATTTGCCGGAGGGAGGAACGATCGTGGACCCGATGTACAGAGGTGATAAAAATATACCGGAGGAAAATCTCGGCTTTAAGCCAAGTGCCTGAGAGTATGAATATAGGGTCAGTTGATAAGATGATTCAAATGACAATTGAACAACTGTTTTAAATCATCAGTTAGAGTGTAGTGTTCCCATTTGTCATTCCAAGAATAAAAACAAGGGTGAAGTGAAAATATTGATTTCACTGGGAACCGATTTTAAGTTTAAAGCTTGATCTCCCTTGTTAACGAGTTTGACCTGTCAATCTTTGTAAAATGGAAAGCGTTTGACGGGAGGGTCTTTACGAGAGCGTGAAAATCCCTATTTCGAAGGCCTGGTACGTGAACATGCATATTCAGAGCATATTTAAAAAAGAGATTTTACCAGATTTTTTAACCATTTTTTTGCTCCGATAACTCATTTCGCTCGTGAAAGGATGCATTCATTTTTCACCGCGCGTTTGTCCAACAACAGTTCGGCTAAACGAGTACTTGTGTTTTAAACAAAAGGATTGTTTCGAAAAAACAGAAAAAAATAGAATAGGATGTGGAAAAATGTGGTTCAGTGCCAGGAGGTTGTCACAACTGCACAATGAAAAAAGAATTAGCTACAAATTTTTGGAACGTTGGGAGCGTTCATTTCATTGGGCCACGGTTGGAGACCATTATCTCTTGAAAAAGTTGACTGATATCCGTTATTATTCTGGTATAACTTTGGTGCAAATTAATGTCCTAAGTAGAAGTAATAAAATGAGCCTCGAAGAACGCCAGTGTTCCATCGATTTTCAATTTATCTCCCATGGTTTAATACACCTCGGTGCTACGGCAAAGGAGGCTATGCATTCCAAATGCGCATGATATACATATCTTCTGTTTACCTCTAATACCTCGACTAATGGTCTTTCCTTCTTATGCGGTGCAAGAATAATGGTTATGACATTGCGTCACTCACATATTCCGGAATTTCTGGGATATGATATTAACGGCAGGCTTGAAGCATCATTTTTTTTTCTTAAGGTACCGTGGTGGCACTAGTTTTTCAATGGGATCCAAATAGCCGAATTTGGAGCACCGCAGCAGCATAATTTCGAACGAATAAATATTTAAACGCGTCGAAGTCTATTTTCATTGTTTTCCTCTCGAAGTACATTTATTTCTGCACGAATTACAATATTCATTTACATTATACAGAGTGCAATAAATTCCTAAAATTATATTTATGCGGGGTGCTCGATCGACTGATCTGTTTATCGAGCCTTGTATAGTGTACAGATGGTAGGATTCAGTCACACTTCATAAGGATCTGGAAACAAAATGTACGCATGTATTGATGGATAATTTTTGTATCGTTGCAGATTGAAACAAAACGAAAAAAAAAAACAAAAATCGAGATTTGGGTTCACAGAATGCGAGGTGGGAAAGCTTGAGAAATCTATTCTTTCTAACCCTATAATCGATTTTTTACCGGTTCAGAACAAATGTGAGTTGAAAATTCAATAACAGGGAGTTGCTAAATCTGTAGTGGAGTGGTAAATTGTTTTGTGGAGTGGTGCATTTTTAAAAAAATTTCTATTGCGTGAATGGAAAACTCTCTCAAACGTGGCCAAATTTTTTAACTCTTCTGAAAAAATTCTATTTTAGCACTTATCCCAGTTTATCACTTCGCTACAGAAATGAGCTCATATAATCAAAAATGAGAAAGATTTGAAGGAGAAACTCCGAGAAAAGGAATTGACTTAAGCTAAGAAGAAGAATTGAATGATTGGTCGAACTTACCTGAGTGAAGTTCAATCACAATTATGTGAGCCATCTTGTCCGAACAGATCAAAGAGTAGTGACGATCTTACCATGTGGTCCATCACAGAGAAGTTCCTAAAAATACCCTAAAAGAAATCTAGTTCCCCTGTGTATCCGTGCGCCCCGACGCCAACCGACGCCGTTATTACTAAAAAACTGATCAAATCACGTCAGGGAAGGAATATTAAGGGGGGGGGGGTTGATCTGTTCGGACCAGACGGCTCACATAATTGTGATTGAACTTCACTTAGGTAAGTTTGTTCAATTATTTAATTATATTTTGTCGTCTCGTCCTCCAGATCAAAGAGTAGATATTCAGAGCATACAAGCGATTTAGTATAAACTCAATAGAACATTTAATAAACTAATTAATAATTATTTAAGTAATAACACACACTCTTCATATTAAGGCTATCATGTATGCTTTGGTTTTAAAGTAATAATACCATTATAAATGATAATAAACAAGTACAGAGTCTGAAGCGAGAACGAAGAAAAAACAAACTCCTCACTATTTGTTTAGATGGGATTATCTAGCTGATTCAATTATGGCTCTAGCAAAACTCTGAGACTCTATGATGGGACGATTGTAGAAAGAAGCGAAGACAGTTGACTTAGCTGTCCAGCCCGCTGCTTTCCTTATGGTCTCTATATTGATACTTTTGAGAGCTGCCAACAAAGTCGCTGCGTGTCGGGTACTGTGAGACTTGAAAATCGTTGTATCAATGTCACACTCATTTAAGGTCTTCTTGACCCAATTACTGATCGTCTGTGTTTTAGCTGGATGATGTGTTTTTTTTACAGTGATGAATAACTTGGAAGATGAGCGTAAATTCTCTGTTTTTTAAAAATATAAGCCCTTAATGCAGAGACTGCACAGAGGTTTGGTTGTGCTTGAAAGATGGCCAATGTTATCAATGGATTTGACTTCTTCTTCTTCGTTGTTTTTATGCGATCAGGAATTGAGATGTACGTGATATCATCCTGAGTCGAGATGTTGTCAATATCAATTTTGGACAAGGTCTGAATGCGTTGAGCTGTTGTCAGGGCCAGAAGTGTACTCAATTTTTTAGTCAAACTCTCTAGCGATAGTTGGTCGTGCGACGGCCATTTATCAAGAGCAGTCAGCACTGATTTGAGATTCCATGGCTTTAATGCACTTAGCCCTTAGAAGAACCGTTGAATCAAGGGTCTGCTAGAAAGGCTACAGCTGATCTGTATGTATTCAAGGATGATGATGACTTAAGAGTTTCATTTTTCTCACCAAGGGATTGGAGAATCTGAGTGACATCAAAGTTGAAAAACTCGAAACCATTCTTTTAGCAAAAAGACCACCAAGACCTCCAGGCTGAGTCGTATTGTTTCAGGGCTCCTTCAGTAATGGAGGTTGATATTACTGGAATAGCTAATTCTGGAGTTCCTCTGCTGGTGTACGCCTGCCTGATAATCTCGTCGCGGCCAGGGTAAGCGATCTCTGTAGTGGACTCTCTCTAGAAGGAGATAATAATAATGTCTTGTTAGTGGTAAACATGATTGGGGGATGAGTCTGCATCCTTTGGATCAAAAGAAACCAACACTTCGTCGACCAATACGGAACAACAATAACTCCCTCAGCTTCATCGTACCAAAATTTTTTGAAGTACTCTAGGAATGAGGCTGAAAGGAGGGAATGCATAAATGTAAATCCTAAACCAGCTAATATTTCTTCGGTTCTGCGTCTGCCTCTGTTTTTTTTTGGATTGAATATATGATGCTAACACCCACAATCTCCTGTCTTCACACCATTGCACGAACGTTTTGCTTCTCTATTGAGCTTAGTAAATTGAACACTGCCCATCTTGTTGAAACAAGCGATGGTAGTCGTATTATCAATACGAAGAAGGAGTTGGCAGGATGATTGAGAAGAAGCGAAGCATTTTGAAGCCAGAAGAGCAGCCTTCAATTCCAAAATATTTATGTGGAGGCTCTTTTCCGAATCAAACCACCAGCCACCCGTGCTTTTGCCTGCACAAAATGCCCCCCATTCTGTGAGTGATGTGTCACTAAAAATCTCCAACGAAAAAAGAGAGTTTGTAATGATTCTCCTAGTCGATAGAATGTTGTCATACCACAAAAGTAGATCTGGGTGAATTTTATCTGTTAATAGCATCCTCTTAGATAATCATTATCACACCTACGAAGCGCCTTAAATTTTTCCCTCTGCAAGATTTTTAAGTAGACTGGGCCACATTCGACGGCTTGGTATGCAGAAACTAACGTACCAATGAACTTAGCCAGTTACCGAATTCTATAGGAGATTGTTTCCTTAAATTTTTCTACGAGCTTGACGATGATCTCTCGCTTCTGATCAGGAAGCCTAATCACCATATTCTTAGAGTCGATGATGAAGCCCAAAAGTTTCACCTCAGTCCTCGGAGACAGCTGGCAATTGTTAACATTGAGGATGAAGCCCAACGATTGCAAGAGATTACGAGCATTTTGAATATTCTCAAGGTATTGATGCTCTGACTGGCCCATCAGCAAGATATCGTCTAAATAAAACACTGAAAGAATACCAGAAGATCTCAAAATATGAGCAACCGGCTTAAGCAGTTTGGTGAAGGCTTGTGGGGCTGTGTTGAGACCACAGAGGAGATAATTGAACTGAAATAATTGACCTTTGTGGGAGAAGCGAAGACATTTTCTGAATTTTTGATGAATAGGAACCAGGAAGTCTGCATCCTTAAGGCCCAAGGTCGCTAGAAAATTTCCTTTCCTAAGAAGATTGATGACGTTCTTCAGATTCTCCATTTTAAAATGGTGGCGTCTTATGAATCTGTTCAACTTTTCAAGGTTTAAGATAAATCTCTTTTCTCCACTATTTTTGTCAATTAAAAAATATGACGAAATAAATTGTCCTTTGACAGGATAACATTTTGATATGGCTCCCCTTGAGATTAGTCCTTCAATCAACTTCGATAAAATGACATCGTTCTCTGATGAAAATACTGGTTCACCTGGGGGAAACCTCTGTGAAGGTCTATTAGTGAAAGGGATTCGATATCCAGAAACAGATGAGAGGATATTCTGATCAGAAGTGATGGTTTTCCATTAATTCAGCAAATAACGGAGTCTCCCAGATGGAATATTTACAGCTACCTGCATTGCTGGCATTGGCTGGTCCTCGACCTGTGCCCCCCTCGGTGCGAGCTCTTGAATCTCGTGTTGTTCCTTGACGAGTTCCTCCCCGAGGGGGGATAGTAGTTTAAATCACGAGACGATGGGGTTCTTGCTGGCTGACGATTCA